TGTTTGAAACAGTTTTAAAGTGGGTTGATGAAGAAAGAGATCTTTTTTTAAAAAAATATATTTTATTGTTTTTACAGAGGAGAAGGGAGAGGGATAGAGAGTTAAAAACATTGATGGGAGAGAACATCGATCAGCTGCCTCCTGCACACCTCCTACTGGGGATGTGCCCACAAGCAAGGTACGTGCCCTTGACCGGAATTGAAACTGGGATCTTTCAGTCCACGCGCGACGCTCTATCCACTGAGCCAAACCAGTTAGGGCTGGGGTTTATATTTCTTTAAAAATTTGTCATATATTTATAACAAGCTATATATGCAATAATTTGTTTTTTGTTATAAAAGTTATGCATGCTCACTTAAATAATTTCAGTTCCTAAAAAATCAAACTCACAGTCTTTACATACCACCTTTTCTGCATTTAGTAAAGATATGCCCGCTCACCTCAAATATCCGAGAAATGTGGGCTCACCACTGGGTTGTAGTTCAACATAGTGACCAAACCCTGACTGCTACACATCTAAATCCCAGCCTTTAACGCTGTGCTTTCACATGCCCCACCAGTGTCACCACTCCCATTTTACTCCCCTCCTCTCAGTGCCCAGGGCAACCCCTTCAACTGGATAAGGACATGTGCTTCCTCTGTATTCTGGATGACATATTTGCTGTTTTGAACTTTTGTGTTGTTCTTACGTATTCCTCACATCTAGTCAGTGCCAAATACTGTCCATTTCCATGTTTCCTCCTTTCTACTCACATACTACAACCCAGATTCAGACTATCAGTGCCATTTGCCCTACCTGGATTACGATTTCCAAACTGGCCCTCTGTTCTTGCCACTCCTGACTCCAATTCCTTTTACATGTAGCTGCCAAATCAATCTTAAAATACAATTCTGATAGGGTTCACAACCTTTCAGTGACTCTTTTTTGTTTAATGAGAAAAGTCTAGGCTTTTGGGGGGTAACACTCAGGGCCAAGATAGCTGGTTCCAACCAGTTTTCCCCACATCACCACCCCTGTTCCGTCCATGCTGGCACCTACATACTTGACAACACCTGAATCTTCTCTATTTTCTCAGGGACTCCTTTAGCTTCCTTTACCTGCCTCAATCTCGGAAGCAAGACTCTGTTCCATTTCTCCGCTCTCATCCTTCAAGGCCAAGGCTGAGGTGTCATAACATTTGCTCAAACCAAGTTTGAATGAATAATATTCCCTTTGACATATCTTATTTTATTGCTGTCAACATATAAATGGTAAGGACCTTTGGGTTTAGGTCTGCATACGGGTTCCTCCACCCACCCATTCTTTAGGCATATGATCTTGGAGAAATTACCAAACCTTCCTGAGTTTCAGGCTCATCAACTATAAAGTGGGAAATGATACTGCCTCCTTTATAGAGCTCTAAGAATTCAATGAGATAATGCCACATAAAGCATTAGGACTGCTACTGAAACATTGTCAAGTGCCAAATATTAGCTATTATTACCACCAAATTCTACAGTTACTAGTTAATATATTTATCTTCCAAATGTTCATCTCTATATCACAAGTTCTGCAAAGGTAAAGACCATGTGTTATGTTCCTTTGTATTCTGTGGTACCTAATGTAATTAATTTTATACACTGAAATCAATAAAGAAATTTTTCACTGGATTAAATTTCTGTTATTTCCTATGTCAATCCTATATATTAGGACAAAATGTATCTATGTGATGGCCAGAAAATAATGAGGACTCAGTAAAGATTTGCAACTTCCTTCTGGTTGTGTTTTATAATATAGTAATTTTTAGCCACATTTATTCAATATGGCACTCTTCTTAGTGTTAATTATATATAAAGATTAGAGGTATATTGGTCAGTGGAAATGGAAAATGTATTTAATTTGAGGTATTAGAAAGGTAATTCATGATAACCATCATTAGCTTTTAAAAAAGTAAATCTTTCGTTCAGCTGTTGGAAACATTAGCGATTTCCTATACAATTTCTTTCTTTAATTCTTCCTATAAATACAGTTTTGGGAGAAAGAATACCTATTTCTTAGAAATATAATTTTCTAACTAAATGATTATCAAAATGTTATAAAGAAAACTCTTCACAGATTCTTCCCTGAACTTAATATATTTACACAGAATTCTGTTTTCAGAACCATCTAAAATTTCTAGGACGACAGACTCCCTGGAATCTCTGAGTGGGGTGAGAATGAGTCTCTGCAGTTTCTAGGAAAAGATAATGGAAGAGTCCAATATTTGTTTGCTTGTCACCCACGTATCCAATAGTCTACCTGGAAAACACTCATTGGTAGTCTGTTGTGTGCAAGGCTTTGTGCTTGTGGAAACAAAAAACACCTGATGAATCAGACTCTTAAGCAGTTGTCCAGAAACCTATCATTAGTAAGAAAACTAGAACATGAAGATACATTTGAACATATGGTAGTGAGTTGTCAGTGCCATTACGAAAGGTGTCAGAGAAGGGATAGATGCTTCTAGTGGACTACTTGGAAGGGTTCTTAGAAAATGTGACATCAGAGCAAACATTTCAACTTTATAGACTGTTCTAATAGCATCATCCCCAGAATTAGGCTACTGTGTTGAAGAATCAGATTTGGTGTTTTCTTTCATTCATTCATTCCTTCCAGTCATTCACTAATTTATACATATACTAGTTAAGTATGTATCCAGAACCTGGACTCCGACTGTTTGGACTTACTTCCAGGCCCAACTATAAATAGCTGTATAATCTTGGGCAAATTCTGTAAAACTATATACTTTAGCTCCTCATCAAGAAAATAGGCATAATAAAGGTACTAATATTCTAGAGTTGGTAATACATGTGCAATGTTTACACAGAATAAGCATTCAATAAATACTGGCTTTCACTATTAGGATGTCATTATTATACTACTTTTACTACCTAAACAACCATTTATGGAGCAACACCACACACCAGAACTATGCAAGGCCCTGAAGCAATGGGTTTACAATTCCTTCCTTCAAAGAGCTCCCAAAGAAGTGGGTGATACAGAAAATTAAAACAATAATCAGAAGAGAAAGTAACAGAGTCTCTGGTGCTGGTATGCAGAGGTTCTACTGAGAAACAGACATGCGGCCGCTAAGTCAGAGAGAAAGTCTGTGAAGGCTTTCCAGAAGAGGTGAGACTTACACGGAATCCTAACGGGTGAGAATTCACTAAGGGGGAAAGGCTGCAGTAGATTCCCAGCAAAAGTGGATGCTCTCCTACTCCTCCATGTTCCTTGATGCTTCAGCGATTGCCAGTCTGACATCCAGCCGCCAGCCCCTAGGTCTCTTTGTCTGAGGGTTTTCTCTGGTTTGCTTAAATCCACTCAAGAAATATAAGGGAATTTTCACACCCAAGAGGGCGTCCTATATAATAAAAGCCTAATGTGCATATTGTCCCCTCAACCAGGAATTTGACTGAGTTCGACCGCTCACTATGACGTGCGCTGACCACCAGGGGGCGGCACGGAATATGGCGGGCATTGGTGACAAAGAGCTAGCAGCAGGTGGCAGTGGAGGCACTGCTGACCCTAATGGGTCCTGAGGAGAGCAGGACCATGGTGGGATGGTGGAGCAGGTGACCAGGTGGTGCCAGGCCAAAGTAGGTGCAAGAGGAGGCCCGAACACCCTGCCAATTGCCCCACAGATGGCGACCAGTGGTGGCTCTGACACTTACATTACAGAGAAAGGGCAAATAGCAATATTAATATTTCTTCTAATTATTTTCCTTTCAATGTGCACAAATCCGTGCACCGGGCCACTAGTTCTTTTGTAAACTACTGACAAGAGTTGCATATAAGTACTCCAGCTCCCTTGCTTCTTGGTGGGCTAATTCAGAAGCATGTCCTATACTGTGTCCCAGAGTCTCCTTCTCAGCATTGGAAATGAGCCCCAGTTGTCCAGTGGTAATATGCTTATAACTTAACATCCCTGCCTTCTTCACTTTCCTGTCTCCCTTCCCCATTCCTCTGATGGTATTTCCTGGGATCATGTCCCAAATAAATGACTCCCACTTGAATTATTGTTTCAGATCTACTTCTGGGGGGACCCAACCTAAGAAAAGGGTAATTGCACTCAAGCAGAGAGAAAGGCAGCTGTTAAAAAACACAGATATAAATAGTCAAGATGCTTTTAAGGAAATAAAACAAGTTCTGAATGACCGGAGAGGGGAGTTATAGGAGAAACTAAGGATAAACTAATCTGTTCCGACTAGATAATGAAGGATCTTCCATGCTGGGTATGATGGTTAATTTTATGTATCAACGTGACTAGGTCATAAGGTACCCTGTCATGGGGGGCCAAGACATTTGACAAACATTCTTCTGAGCATGTCTGTGAGGATGTTTCTGGTTGAA